TGTAGGCAATAGGGAGTCATTAATTTTTAGGGTTTTTCTTTTCTTTTTTTGGTAGAAGCCTAGCTTAGCAATAGTTTCTATAGAAAATTTGATAAAGTCCCAAGGACACAGTGGACTAAGGATGTTGGGTGCTCTTAGAAAGATAGTTTAGCCTTTTACAATTTGTTATTCCTCCCCCATCTCACCTCAAATATACTCATCCAAAACATTTGTTGAGGATTTCCGCAGTGGTCCAATGATTAAGACTGCACGCTTATACTGCAAAGTGCATGGGTTTGATCCCTGGTCTGCGAAGTTCTGCTTGCCATGTGGTGTGGCCAGAAAGAAAAAAGTAAAAGAAAGCAAAAGCAAACCATGTATGAAATCAAGGGCTTGGGAAAAGAGGGGTGAGGATGGGATTGTGTACATGGACCGTTTACATTTTGTCCCTGCTTGATTCGGAGCTAATTTTTTCTTACTTATAGTTTGCAACGAGTGGCTGTTTCATTCCCTGCTCCAAAAGACTGGGAAAGTCATTTCCATCAGTGCCTTTGTTACTGCTCAGCTCCACTACAACCAAATTGCATGTCTTGAATTCATTAACAATGAGCTTTTACCTGTATATTATAAGTACTGCTTTGCCTGCAAAGGACTTGAGTTCCTTGGAGAATCATGTTAGTATTTATTTTTTGCAGCTCTTTTAGAACCTCTTCAAAGTTTGACTTCCAACAGACTGGAAATATTTTCTAACAGGAAAAGTAGTGCAATTGTTATTAGACACGGAACAGTGGAACATTTGTAGTAATCAAGATAATCAAAGCAAATGAGGTCTTTTAATACAAAATTTTGCTTCCATGATCAGGATAATGGAGTTAATCCTGTTGTTTGCTTGCAATAATAAATATTTGTGCAATTAATATATTAGTCATATAATTCGTATTAGAAAACACTAACACAGTTTGCCAAGTATGCCTGAATTGAGGCTTAGAGAGAAATTACACTTTGCTCTCCAAACTCTCTTTTGTCTTTTAGTGAAATCTTGTTATCAAACAATGTATAAATATAATCCTAGAAGTGACTTCATAGGTTGGTATTACTTACTTTTTTCCTGAATGCAGGTAATTAGAGACAGGAACTGCCTTTCAGTTTCCAGTGCGTTTCTCCTGGGAGTAAGGCCGTTAGTACTTGCCTAAGAGCTCCCTCCACTGGAGGCTGAGATTTAAAACTCTTTCTGCCTAGTGTTTGCCTTCTTTCAAGACGGCCCACTTCCTGCTTACCACCTAGTGCTGGCGGATCAAAGCAATACAACACTGAGCAATGTCACTCAGAAAGCGGCACGTAAGCCCGTTTGTCAGTCCAAGGAGGCTGCACTGGAGAGGACAGGAAAAGCTCTTACAGCCCTTCCTGTCATTCTCAAGTCACCTGGCTGCACGGAATATGTTCCTGGAAGCCTAGAGCGTAAACTGACAGTGATCGCATACCTTCAAGGTCTTGGCCTGGTTTCTCATCACATGCACTTTTTCATGAATTATTGCTTTCTTTTTTTTTTCCATTTATTTTTATTAGTTGGAGGCTAATTACTTTACAACATTGCAGTGGTTTTTGTCATACATTGAAATGAATTAGCCTAAAACAAACAAAGCTTTAGAAAACTTTTAGGTTAATGAGAAAAGCTCATGATCCTGGTAGTAAAAGGCATTGGAGAACTTAGGAGCTCTTTCGGTTAATGGAATGAGGTTACAAAGCCAGGCTGCCAGAGATTGAGTTGGTAAAAAGAGGCAGCAAGAGTCACCATTTCCGGAGTCCCAGAAACTGAATAAAAGGGGCCCGACCGTGAAGCCAGGTCAGGTTCTGGTACAGGTGTTTTGAAGGATTCGTGGATCTTCAAAAAAATGCCTCTGTCGCTACCGATTTAACCTGCTGAAGAAGCCTGTGCCAAAAGTAAATTCTTGGATCAGTTTTGAAGCAGTTCCTCCTACATGGTACTATTTTTAATTATAGTGTGTAGTGAACAACACTACTGAAATTACATAGAACTAAGCACTCATTAGATTTGATCTTCACTGTCTTGTTAACTCCAAAGCCCCCTTAGCCCTCTGTATACACTGGTCTCATCCTTATTCCAGACTAGTCCAGCCCTCACTGTCCATCAGCTCTCTTGATAGCTGCATTAATTTTCATTCATCTAGCACTTGTGACTTAATAGCCAGTAGTGCTTATTGCAGATTGTTAGTACATCTTGGGAAGAATGCTGCTGCTAATATTTAAGTTCTGTGTTAGCTAACTTTCTCATAAACGTTGTCCTGCCCAAAACACAATCAGAGGACAGTGTGCTTAGCATGCTTGCTCTGTAACTACCTTGGTGAAGGTTGTTTCTGACTGAAAATACAGGGTCACCTTCAATATTTGTTTTCAAAATAAAATACTCTTCTAGAAGCTCTGGGTACTGGATGAGGGGAAATTGGTTAAAAACAAAAACTATACAAAATAGGATAACAGTGCTCATCCCCTTTTCAGAGCTATTTAGATGAAAAATTGCTCAGCATGAGCTTGATCTATATGTTTTTCCTGGTTATTAGTAGTAATGAAGATGCATTAACCATATTCTCTTGATAATGCACTAGCAGTTTCTTAGTACTTTTATCAACATATAAATTTTAGAACTGGCAATATGGGAATTTGACTAGTACATTTTTGTTTATAAAAAAGGGTAACAACATTATAACTTCTTCATATCTGTGAATTATGAATCTTGACTTGAAGACAAGCAAAACTAAAATGCAGTAGAACTTCAATATCATAACAGCTCTTCTTTCCACTACCACTGCAGAAAAGGGGACTGCCTACAGGCTGCTAAGTGCAATATCGTGCCAGAGGTGCATGCCTTCTGAGTCCGTAATTTATGACTTCTTTACTTGTCGCTCATTCGTTTTCTCAATAAACACGTACTGAGTGCCCTCCCTGTTGCTAAGCTGTAATGTCTGTCAATAGAAAGGCTCTACTTCCTTAGGAAGTAGCTGAAAATTACTAGTGCGTCATCACTATGTATCGTTATCTCTATTAGGAAACATTATTTTCAACAATTTTTGGAAGAACATGAAGTGGCTCATTTCTTTAAAGATGAAATAATGCAAAATAAACCATTTGGAAAAGGATTTCTTCACATTTAATTGTGTTATAAATGAATAGCTCTTTCTTTTATAAAGCTGAATTCCAAGTCTCCCATATCTAGCCTGTAATATTAGCTAGAATCATTAGAGAAAACTTCATGGAAAGAAGCAGCATAGAGCCCTTCACTGTTTACGATAGAACTGTGGGTCAGTTATGTTTTAGAACTCTGTCTAGTTTATCTATTCAGAGATGTATCTAGTTCAGTTCAGTTCATTCGCTCAGTTGTGCCCGACTCTTTTGTGAACCCATGGACTGCAGCACGCCAGGCCTCCCTGTCCATCACCAACTCCCGGAGTTTACTCAGACTCTTATCATCCAACCATCTCATCCTCTGTCATCCCCTTCTCCTCCCTCCTTCAATCGTTTCCAGCATCAGGGTCTTTTCCAATGAGTCAGTTCTTCACACCAGATAGCCAAACTATTGGAGTTTCAGTTTCAGCCTCAGTCTTTCCAATGAATATTCAGGACTGATCTCCTTTAGGATGGACTAGTTGGATCTCCTTGCAGTCCAAGGGACTCTCAACAGTCTTCTCCAACACCACAGTTCAAAAGCATCAGTTCTTCAGTGCTCAGCTTTCTTTATAGTCCAACTCTCACATCCATACNTTGAACTTGTTTGTCACTTCTACTGTTATTCCACTTCCATGTATAATCATAAGGGATTTGATTTAGGTCATACCTGAATGGTCTAGTAATTATCACAACTTTCTCCAATTAAAGTCTGAATTCAGCAATAAGGAGTTCATGATCTGAGCCACAGCTTCCAGTCTTGCTTTTGCTGACTGTATCTAGCTTCTCCATCTTTGGCTGCAAAAATTATAATCAATCTGATTTTAGTATTGACCATCTGGTGATGTCCATGTGTAGAATCTTCTCTTGTGTTGTTGGAAGAGGGTGTTTGCTATGACCAGTGTGTTCTCTTGGCAAAACTCTGTTAGCCTTTGCTCTGCTTCATTCTGTACTCCAAGGCCAAATTTGCCTGTTACTCCAGGTATCTCTTGACTTCCTACTTTTGCATCCCAGTCCCCTATAATGAAAAGGGCATATTTTGGGGGTGTTAGTTCTAGAAGGTCTTGTAGGTCTTCATAGAACCATTCAACTTCAGCTTCTTCAGCATTACTGGTTGGGGCATAGACTTGGATTGCCATGATAATGAATGGTTTGCCTTGTAAACAAACAGAGATCATTCTGTCATTTTTGAGATTGCATCCAAGTACTACATTTCAGACTCTTTTGTTGACCATGATGGCTATTCCATTTCTTCTAAGTGATTCTTGCCCACAGTAGTAGATATAATGATCATCTGAGTTAAATTCACCCATTCCCGTCCTTTTTAGTTCACTAATTTCTAAAATGTTGATGTTCCCTCTTGCTATCTCCTGTTTGATGACTTCCAATTTACCTTGATTCATGGACCTAACATTCCAGGTTCCTGTGCAGTATTGTTTTTTACACTTTTTTCCTCTATCAAGAGCTCTAAGACCCTGATGCTGGGAAAGATTGAGAGCAAGGCAGGAGGAGAAGGTGTTGACAGAGGATGAGATGGTTAGGTAGCATTGCGAGATCAATGGACATGAGTTTGAGCAAACTCTGGGAAGACAGTAAAGGACAGGAAGCCTGGCGTGCTGCAGTCAAGGGGTTCACAAAGAGTCAGACACAACTCAGCGACTGAACAGCAGCTAGTGATGGCAAGGATACAGCTGTCACATAAAATGTAGGAGAATTACCATGTATGTGCTGCCAGATAGGTCTGAGAAAAGGAAACAGTGGCAAAATTTAAGGTGACTAAAATCATGACAAGTGAATCTCTCAGATTTGATTTTCTGTTTGCTACTTTTGTGAAAGCAAAGATGAATGTGAGAAAATAAGCTGCTATTAATGACTGGATTACAGACTGATATTGACATGGACAGTGTTCTGCAAGTGAAATAATCTTACCTGGTCTTCTGGATAATAGCCCTGAGATACTTAAAGCTGACGACTCGTTTGGGAAGTAATCTTTCATTTTAACACATTTACTCCGTGTCCCCTCTCTGCCAGGCTGAGCATTGGCGCTGGCAAACCCCGGTCTCCAGGAGAGGCCTGTGTGAGCGGGAGGGGAGCGTGGAGGGGGGCCGAGTGCTGAGCGGCTTGGTGAGGGTGGCCCTTGGGCCCTGCAGCGTGGTCACTGTGACCTCGGGGGTGGGCCGAGAGCCGGGGACCACGGCCAGACCGAGTGGGCCGGGGCTGAAGCACAGAACACTCACCGAGACTGTGAGGAGGGCGAGACCAGGAAGGAGTGAGTGTTCGCAGGGGAAGGGCTGCAGCCGTGCGCAGGTGGCGTGCTCCTAGGAAGACATAGCAGAAAGGGGGGGTCTGAGAGCAGCGCTGGGACCCTGCCTGTGGGCGAGCTGTGGCCGGGGGCCAGGTGAGAAGGGTCTGTCTGCCTTGTAACAGTGTTGGCAGAACACCTAGTGTGTGCTGGCACCAGCGGGATGGAGACCAACGTGCTGTCTCCATGACATTTATTGCACTGGACGCACAACGGGCGGGCCAGGAAAACGTGGTGTGTCGGGAAAGGGGAGCAGGGCCGTGGGAAGAGGCTGGAAGGGCGGGCAGGGGGCGGGCAGACTCGGCTCTCAGGGCCCGGGCCGTGATCGACTCTGAGAGCTGGCTGCACGGCTGTCAGAGATGCTTCTGTTTCAGAATCGGGGGAAACACGGCCTTGGGGGAGACCTGTTCCCACCCTCGCTCCCCTTTGCGGCCACCCCAGGCTTGCCCAGCCCTGACAGCCCCTTCAGAGCCTGTGTCGCAGGCTTCTGTCACCACCTACTTCCATGGTAGTGTAAAAAATGTACTTCTTGCTTGGACTCTCCGCGAGGGGTGCTGTGTTTTCGGCAGTTGTAGTATTGGCACTGTTAGGCCCTGCTGAATAAAGGAATGAAAAGTAAACAAAAAAAATTCCATAAGCCACATCTTCAAAAATCTTGCAGTTGGATGTTCTGTGGTCACTTTAAGTTTCCATACCTCAATTTGTGTACCTGAGCTCATAAATGGCCCTTTTGAAAGCACGTCTTTATATAACAGAATATGTGAAATAGCTACTGCTGCTGCTAAGTCGCTTCAGTCACGTCCAACTCTATGCAGCCCCACAGACGGCAGCCCACTAGGCTCCCCTGTCCCTGAGATTCTCCAGGCAAGAACGCTGGAGCCGGTTGCCATTTCCTTCTGCAATGCATGAAAGTGAAAAGTGAAAGTGCAGTCTCTCAGTCATGTCCAACTCTTGGCGACCCCATGGACTGCAGCCCACCAGGCTCCTCCGTTCTGGGGACTCTCCAGGCAAGAATACTGGAGTGGGGTGCCATTTCCTTCTCCAATGCATGAAAGTGAAAAGTGAAAGTGCAGTCTCTCAGTCATGTCCAACTCTTAGCGACCCCATGGACCGCAGTCCACCAGGCTCCTCCGTTCTTGGGACTCTCCAGGCAAGAATACTGGAGTGGGGTGCCCTGTAAAATAGAGTTGTTCTCCAATGTAAACACTGTGTCTCCACCTATTTTTTTTTAACAGGACCAATGCCAAAGGCGCTCCCCTAAACATAAATAAGGTCTCAAACAGCCTGATTAACTTCGGAAGGAAGCTGATTTCTCCCGCGGTGGCCCCGGGCGGTGCTGGCGGCCCCGTGGCCGCCGGCAGTGGCGGCGCCCCCTCCCCGGCCGCAGCTCCCACCAAGGCCTTGGCCGAAGCCCCCAGGCACGCTCTGCAGCAGCAGCAGCGGCTGATGAAGTCGGAAAGCATGCCCGTGCAGCTGAACAGAGGTAAGGGGAAGACACTAGAACCTGGGCCTTCCTCACCTGACTTCGGGGAACTACCACCCCAGAACGAGAAATTAATGCAAAACTTGGCTGGAAAACGTGTTAGATTCTTTTTAAGTGGGAATTTCAGTCATTATACTGTTCTTAAGAACTTTTTATGAGGTGATTTGTTAAAGTACTTTCTTAACATTTGTGCTCAGTGCGCTTGCATTTGAGTCGTGGCGACGCCCAGAGCCTGGTGGGATCCGTCACCGCGGAGAGCTTGAGGCCTGGTGACCGAGGGCTCTGCCGACGGGCGCAGTGGGCCTCTGGCCAGGAGAGCGTTGGCAAGGCGCGGGCCTGCGACCCTGGGCGCTGCCTGTCCCAGCTTTCAGCCCCGCGGTTGGTTCCGAGGAGGCGGGTCAGCGGGCCTGCGTGCCGTGGAGGAGCAGGAAGCAGAGCCGCGACGGGCCGGGGCAGCCAGGGTGTCCCGGGCAGCCAGGGTCCGTGGCTGCGTCCGCGCCCTGGGGGCGGCGGGGAGCGTGAGGCCGGCTCGGTGTGCGCGGCTGCCGGGCTGTGCCGGCGGACTCCTGCCCTCCACTTCAGGGGCTTCCCGGCACTTCCCCTCCCTCGTGTTCCTAAGACAGCCTTGCGGTTGCTGCCCAGAACCTGTGCCTCATATTTTCCACTTACCTCCAAAGATGTGTGAATCAAGTAACCCGACTCATAGCCAGTTAGAAACAGCTACATTTATTTTTAGCTCTGAGGCTCTGCTGTCTATATTCCGGAAGCAGGAGACACTAACATGATAGCAGAAAGTCTACAGAAATCACTCCCGAGGCCTCACAAAGCCTGGGGTCTGTGGCCATCCACGCCGTAAAGGAGTCCCTGGGTCGTAGCCAAGTTCAGTTCCCAACATTGACTGTTGACAGTAACAATAATATATTAAATCATTAAATATTAACCCATGTTCCATTATACTCTGTTTAAGACAATTGCATCCAACGTTATCAAAAATTTTAATTACTGGTATTTAAACTCGTAAACTTAAGTTAAATGGACTCTATATGCCAGTGACAGAAAGCAAAATGTATTCTTCAACAATGAGTGTGTGTTCTAGTAGTTACATTTATCTGTCATTGCCTATATGAAGTATTAGACTTTATATAATTGCTGTTTAAATTTCTATTAGAATATTCCGTTTACCTTACATAGGAACATCTTTTAATATTATTATACCCTTCTCTTTTTAATGTAGAGCTATCACACATGATTTAAAGAAAAGGAGATTTCAAATCCTTAACATATTGTAAATGTATTTTAATGCCAGGAGACATGCCCACTTCCAGGATGGAAATGAATGTTATTTTATATATTTCTTAATTGTACTGTTTTATTTTTCTAAACAAATATGATTTCAATATTGCTTTGATAACAAGCCATAGTTAGTAGTAATTCTAACTGATGGCAGGCAAATGAGTCAGAGAATCTCTTAATGCCGTAGCTTAAATTTTCTGAGGAACCAAGCCAAATGACTATAGAAATACAAAGTTGTGTCTCTAAGGAAATGTCAAGTATTAATATCACAGTGAGTGAGAAAGGCAGTAGATGAGGACTGAACAATTGATGAAAACTAAGTCCCCAGTTATAAGGAAACAACAGAGCACTTAAGCAAAGCATTTGGAACTCGAGCATCGCTAGGGCGTCTCCTAACCGATCCCTGTGCGACACGGAAGTGGCCTTGTGTGGCAACTCTTCTTCTCATTTCTGGTTTATTCTTCTCACATCAACCTGCAGAGGCTTCTCTCCTTTCATATTAAGGATGACTCGGTCTGTCAGCGCCCCTCCCTGAGTAAAGGTTTTAGTAAAATAGAGCAGAAGGTGAAGAGAGAGCAGTTTGTACCGGTAGAAGCGGGGGTAGGTTGATCCTTCTCTTGCTCTCCAGTGAACCACAGGCAAAATCCGGAAATTTTCTGACCCTTTTCCTCACCCAGAAATAAGGGGTTTGAACTGACCCCTGGGGAGCGTGCCAGCTCTAAAAACCTGTGGTTCCTTAGATGAAAGGTGTGTTTGTTAACTCCCCTCCAGCATCGGTTCTTTCTGCGGCCGTTTCCCACAAGTGTGCTGCCGCGTCCCGAGGCTGGCCTGAATCTTCAGGTGTGTCCCCTGGCCCCGGAAGGGAGGGAGCCCAGCGCTGACTCCTTCCCCAGCCTCGCCCTGGAACAGGGCTGCTGACTGTCTCAGAGCAGCCGCGTGCTTAGTGCATTGTTAGTTCTCTGTGCAGGAAACTTTGATCGTTGTTTCCAGACGCGGCTGTTTATGCAGATGAAAACCCTTATGGCTTTCCCAGGTTAGTTAACTCCCGATTATCTCTGCTCACATAGAGGAAGAGTTCTGTGGGAAAGCCAGCGTTCAGGTATCTGTTACTTGAAGTGCATTTTGCCGTGGGTACCTGTGTTGGGGGTGGGGTCCTGAAGGAAGGAGAGAGCACAGATGGTCCTCCACCATCTTCCAGGTGACGTCAATATTAAAATCAGCTTCAGTCTCTAAATGCACATTAATAGGCGACCCAGAAGCTGCAGAGTGCAACGCGTGGGGAGCGTGGCCTTGAAAGTCCTCGTGTGCACTGAGATGAGGCGCACTGCTTACCGGTGAATGGAGAGCGAACTGTGTTAGGAAAACTCAGGACCTGGGAAGTTCCACTAAAAGTTGTTTATCAGTTATCTGGAGTATGTACCTATTTATAGATTTTATTTCAGCTATGGGAGAATATAAATGCATGTGCTATTAATTGATAGGCATGGTCTAATTACAACCCAGTAATTTCCAGATGAGCTGTCTGTGCTGTAAATCATCATTGTAGCAAGTGGTCAAGGCACTGAAGGTTGTTATATAATTCAAAAATTGATTTTTTTTTTTTTTTTTGCTACTGTGTAGGAGCTACAGGGAAAGCAGATCTGTTAATTATGTGTTATCATACATAGAAAATGTGATGCCTTTTAAGAAGGCTTGTTTTTCAGCTTGTTCATCTCAGAATAGCATAAGGCTTCAGATGCTGACCTGTCCAGGAGAGGGTTCGGTTGGCCGTGACTGTGCTTCATGGTGAGCTTTGTCACCCAGGAAGGAAAGCAAAGACCCGAAAGAATCTTGCTTCTCAGTGGTCCTGTGCCTCAGGAGCTTCCCAGCGTCCCCTTTTCCTTTTCAGAGGCTTCTCTCCTTTCATATTAAGGATGACTCGGTCTGTCAGCGCCCCTCCCTGAGTAAAGGTTTTAGTAAAATAGAGCAGAAGGTGAAGAGAGAGCAGTTTGTACCGGTAGAAGCGAGGGTAGGTTGATCCTTCTCTTGCTCTCCAGTGAACCACAGGCAAAATCCTGAAATTTTCTGACCCTTTTCCTCACCCAGAAATAAGGGGTTTGAACTGACCCCTGGGGAGCATGCCAGCTCTAAAAACCTGTGGTTCCTTAGATGAAAGGTGTGTTTGTTAACTCCCCTCCAGCATCGGTTCTTTCTGCGGCCGTTTCCCACAAGTGTGCTGCCGCGTCCCGAGGCTGGCCTGAATCTTCAGGTGTGTCCCCTGGCCCCGGAAGGGAGGGAGCCCAGCGCTGACTCCTTCCCCAGCCTCGCCCTGGAACAGGGCTGCTGACTGTCTCAGAGCAGCCGCGTGCTTAGTGCATTGTTAGTTCTCTGTGCAGGAAACTTTGATCGTTGTTTCCAGACGCGGCTGTTTATGCAGATGAAAACCCTTATGGCTTTCCCAGGTTAGTTAACTCCCGATTATCTCTGCTCACATAGAGGAAGAGTTCTGTGGGAAAGCCAGCGTTCAGGTATCTGTTACTTGAAGTGCATTTTGCCGTGGGTACCTGTGTTGGGGGTGGGGTCCTGAAGGAAGGAGAGAGCACAGATGGTCCTCCACCATCTTCCAGGTGACGTCAATATTAAAATCAGCTTCAGTCTCTAAATGCACATTAATAGGCGACCCAGAAGCTGCAGAGTGCAACGCGTGGGGAGCGTGGCCTTGAAAGTCCTCGTGTGCACTGAGATGAGGCGCACTGCTTACCGGTGAATGGAGAGCGAACTGTGTTAGGAAAACTCAGGACCTGGGAAGTTCCACTAAAAGTTGTTTATCAGTTATCTGGAGTATGTACCTATTTATAGATTTTATTTCAGCTATGGGAGAATATAAATGCATGTGCTATTAATTGATAGGCATGGTCTAATTACAACCCAGTAATTTCCAGATGAGCTGTCTGTGCTGTAAATCATCATTGTAGCAAGTGGTCAAGGCACTGAAGGTTGTTATATAATTCAAAAATTGATTTTTTTTTTTTTTTTTGCTACTGTGTAGGAGCTACAGGGAAAGCAGATCTGTTAATTATGTGTTATCATACATAGAAAATGTGATGCCTTTTAAGAAGGCTTGTTTTTCAGCTTGTTCATCTCAGAATAGCATAAGGCTTCAGATGCTGACCTGTCCAGGAGAGGGTTCGGTTGGCCGTGACTGTGCTTCATGGTGAGCTTTGTCACCCAGGAAGGAAAGCAAAGACCCGAAAGAATCTTGCTTCTCAGTGGTCCTGTGCCTCAGGAGCTTCCCAGCGTCCCCTTTTCCTTTTTTCTCTCCTGTGTTTTGAGGAGCTTCACAGCGTCTCCTTTTCCTTTGTGTGTGTTCTGAGTTTGAGCACTTCTTTATTTTAAGCATTTACTACAGGTCCAATTTGTAAGTGAAATCTTGCCTATAGTAAGTATATCAAGTTTAAAGGGTATGCAGTTCACAGGTTTATTTTTACATGTTGACATTTATAAGTGCATGTGGTAACTTAAGAAATCTTTTCAGTACTTAATATGAAATCAGAACTTGTTGAGGTCTTTATCTTATCACTGAAGAAATTGGTTTCAAGTTTCGTTAAAAATAAATTTTGTCTGTTACAGGAGGAAATCGATTTCAAAGGAACATCTCTACTTCTTAATTAAATACATACTTACTTTTGGATAAAGAATTTTTTAAATGAGAAAATATAAAATCATGCTTTTTTTGTAGGACAATGAAATCTGCTCAGCAGTATCCATTGATGGCAAGTTTCCTGTACTTTAGACCTGTAGAAACTTGTTTTTTTCCTCAAGAAAAACAGGCACAAACACTTTTAAGGAAACACTTTAAAAATTAGTTCCTTTAAGAAATACTTTATATTAATTTTTCTAAGATTGTGTTATAGTTTGACTCACTGTACTTTTAGTAATTAGGTTGATAGGTAAAAGTATTGTAACATTAAATATGAAAGAAAAGCTAATTTTTTTCCTCTTTATGGAATCTAATTATTTTTTCTTATGACATCCAGGCGATGTAGTTACAGGAAGTGAAGCTCAGGTTTCTGTTCCTGTCCAGACCCTAACTGACCTCCCAGGTACAGTTACCATGGCAACGCAGTATCTCTGCCTGCAGTCTCTCATTGCCGCCTCCCAGACTCCATCGTCCTTTCACACCCTCCATTCATGCCTTGCATCAGTTCACTCCATTGTTCCACCACTGAGTGGCGCTGTTGTTTAGGACAAAAAGTCCCCTCTTGTGTCATACCCTGCTCACGCCAAATCTGACTATCTGTTTTTTATTATTTTTTTAATTGAGTTTGTACTAGTCTCTTTCTTTGCAATATATGGCGCTCTAGATTTTGTGGTTCTTTTAACACCACATTTTAATTGACAGTTCATGCTGAGGTGTTTTTCAGTTCCATAGGTGCTCTGTGATAGAATTTGACAAATTAGTTCTGAGGTTAGACATCTTAGATGCTGTGTATCTGCTTATTATTGTATGTATTAGCCAGAAGTACTTATTATATTTTACAAAGAAGAATTACAGCTTGATTTCGAAATTTGTTTCTAAGTACAGGCTTCGTATTATGAGTCATTTTAACAGAATTAGAATTCAGCATGACAAATCTCTATGTAGAGTAATTGGCAATAATTTAAAATAAAAAGACAATATTTAAATATCATAACCATGTGTCCAAAATCTAGAAAAAGTTTATTTAAAAAATACAAAACAGTAGTAATCCATATTCATCACTTCCTATGGAATTTAGAAACATAAATACTTAAAGTTGCTGCATTTATTTTTTATTGCATAATCTTTTAAAATATTCTGTAGAGAGAAATTCTGTATTAAATGGAAGGCTAGACTCACTTTAAGAATCCTCCATTCAAATTCAGACTAAAAAGAGGACAGTATTAACAGAAATTGATATAATGTCTTCCTTAATTTAAAATATCCACACAGTACAGTCATGCTGCTGGTATTAAACTGCTGTTCTAATAATGACATGTCTCCATAATAGCTGTACTTTTTAATAGCATAACAGAAAATAGTATGTCGTGGTTAGGACATGAGTGATGTGTTGACTTAACGTGTTCAACAAACATACTGTGGGACAGAGGGGTGTGATCTTGCTTCTGTATATAGTTCTGCGTTTCCCTGGTAGAGTTTCTGGCTGTGTTCTGGTAATTGAACCCGCTGACCTTTAGGGCTTTTAGAGCTCTGAGAGTCTGTGAAAGCTGCCGTTTACTCTGTTAAGTGACCTAAATAATAAAGGAGTGCTGTGGCATAGCCAGTACAAGAGGCAGATCAGTGATTCCTCTTTGCGTTTGTCAGTTATTGCACTTACATGAATGTTGATGTGATTTTCTGACCTGGTGAGAATTCACAGGACTTAAATTTGTTTCCTTAAAAGTAAAATATGAGCCCCCTCCCCCCCACCCAAGCAACTTTGTTGTGTTCTTGTTGTTGTGGGGTTTTTGGGGTTTTTTTTTTTGGCTGCACCACACAACTTGTAGGATCTTAGTTTCTTGACCAGGGATTGAACCTGGGCCCACGACAGTGAAAGCATGAAGTTTTGTTATCGCAGGGTTAGTATGCTGCAGAGCGTATCTCTGGCTGCGAAAGCCTGATGGGTTTATACCTGTGTGGAAAGAGAATGCTAAAGGCTGCTTCCTGTTCTGCCTTCTGCTTCTACGCTCCTGCTCAGTCCATGTTTTCCAGTAGGCACGTGAACAGTGTCCCTTTTTAAACAGACTCTTAAAGAAGGAGATGGCAGCATTTTGCTCAGATGACTTGCGTTAGAGAAGTGGAATCATCGTCTCACTCACTCACTCAACCAGTGCTTGCTGAGCGCCTGCAGTCTGACAAGCTCTGTTTTCACTGGTCCTTGACCTTCCCTCCCAACTTCGCCAGGCTGCGTGGGCATCGTGGGTATTTCAGATGACTCAGGCAAGTCCACATGGTCAAGAACCAGCTCTTTCCCTAAGCCCCTGTTCCAGATTGCCCTGTCTGCCTGCCCGACAAGACTGTGTCAGTCTCACAGGGAAGAGTCCAGCAGCTTCATGAGACACGAGGCCAGATGAACAGCTTCCAGCCTGTGGTAGACGGCAGGACGAGCCCCGCCTGGGTGTGGAGAGGTCCCCGTGGGTCTGCCTCTACACGGCACACTTCCTGCAGAGTCATAGAGCATGGGGAGCTAGAAGTGACCCAGCATGCTTAGTGGTGGCGACAGAAAGCTTTTTAGCAACCTCTGCTGGAGAGATTCTTGAGGCTCAGTAATACCAGAAGTTGGAGAAGCTCATCAGACGTGCCAAACCCACAAGAATAGATACACTTTTCATTTCAGGGAGATAAAACATCATGTAGACTTTCCCAGGTGTCTTTTTTCAGAGTGGAGGAGCAGATTTCAAGAAATTAAGCCAACACCAATATTGGCAATAATTCTTTAATTATAGGTAGTCTTTTTTTCTCATGAGATTTTATATCTGTATCCTTGCCTTTTAACACACAATAATTATATGCGTTTTAATTTTTTGAAGAAAATTACAAATATAAAGTGAGATCTCACAATTTAGGCCATTAGATAATTTTTGGAAAATTGTTGGAAAGATCCATTTTATTTTTTCTCAGTGTAGGTTGCAATCTTAAAAGATATGCCACAGGAGAGTTCATTCTTTTGTCAACTTAACTCAAAGACTTTTCTTCAAAATTATCTTTAGAAATAGCTCATATGCCCCCAGGAAATTTTTTTGAGAGATACTTAGAAATTATTAATTCATAAATTTAAAATGTAGGGACACAGACACATAAATACATAGACATTACTTCCAAAGGGAATTTAGAATATCCAACAACCACAGTATATAAATATTATCATATAATGGACCCTTAGGAAAGAAATTTAAGTTATTGCCACAGGCATTTTTAAAATTTGTATTTGTGTGTATGTATTCATGTTACAGATAGGAGTGAATATACAGAAATGTATATGCATAGATATCATTATGCATATTAGGTTGTTTTTTCCTTGTCCATTGTGGTTTATTACACGATATTGAATATAGTTCCCTCTGCTATATGGTAGGACCTTTTTTATCTATCCTACAGATAACAGTTTGCATCTGCTCATCCCAAACTCACAGTCTGTCCCTCCCTTGCACCCCAAGGCTGGCAATCACAAGTTTGTTCTCTACATCTGTCTTGTAGATAACTTCATTTGTGTCATGTTTGAGATGCCACATACAAGCAATGCCATATGATGTTTGTCTTTTTATTTCTGACTTAGTTTGCTTAGTGTGATAATCTGTAGGTCCATCCATGTTGCAGCAAATGTTATTTCATCCCTTTTATGGCAGATGCCAACGTCTTAGTTTTTTGAATGCTGAGTTTAAGCCAGCTTTTTCACTCTCCTCTTGCACCTACATCAAAAGGCTCTTCAGTTCCTCTTTGCTTTCAGCCATAAGGGTGGTGTCATCTGCATATCTGAGGTTATTGATATTTCTCCCGGCAGTCTTGATCCCAGCTTGTGCTTCATCCAGCCCGGCATTTCGCATGATGTGCACTGCATATAAGTTAAATAAGCAGGGTAACGATATACAGCCTTGACGTACTCCTTTCCCAATTTGGAACCAGTCTGTTCCATGTCCAGTTTTAACTGTTGCTTCTTGACCTGCATACAGATTCCTTAGGAGCCAGGTAAGGTGGTCTAGTATTCCCATTTCTTTAAGAATTTTCCACAGTTTGTTGTGGTCTACACAGCCAAAGGCTTTGGCATAGTCAATAAAGCAGAAGTAGATGTTTTTCTGGAACTCTTTTGCTTTTTTTTATGATCCAACAGATGTTGGCAATTTGAAGTCTGGTTTCCTCTGGCTTTTCTAAATCCAGCTTGAACATCCGGAAGTTCACAGTTCACGTACTGTTGAAGCCTGGCTTAGAGAATCTTGAGCATTACTTTGCTGGCATGTGAGATGAATACTGTTGTGTGGTAGTTTGAACATTCTTTGGCATTGCCTTTCTTTGGGATTGGAATGAAAACTGACCTTTTCCATTCCTGTGGCCACTGCTGAGTTTTCCAAATTTGCTGGCGTACTGAGTGTAGCATTTTCACAGCATCATCTTTTAGGATTTGAAATAGCTCAACTGGAATTCCATCACCTCCACTCGCTTTGTTCGTAGTGATGCTTCCTAAGACCCACTTGAGTTCACACTCCAGGATGTCTGGCTCTAGGTGAGTGATCACACTATCGTGGCTATCTGGCATATTCCATTGTACACATGTATCACATCTTCTTTACCCATTCATCCATGGATGGACATTTTAGGTTGTTTCCATGTCTTGGCTATTGTAAATAATGCTGCTGTGAACATAGGGATTTGTTTCTTTGTTTAATAAAAAAAGGCTGAAAAGGATAAAAATTCTCCCTTCCCACTTAACCACTGTTAATGTAAAACTAAAGTGCATGTAACATTAGACAATCCCAGTTAACTAAAGGAAAAAAAAAAAGCTCCTTCTTCTCCTCCCACTTCTTTTTGCCAGCCATTTCACTACAGGTATCCATTGTTAAGTTTCTTTTAACTCCTTCTAGGAGAAAGAAAAAAGATTTTAAACTAAGGAGTAACATGTACTTCACATTAATATGATAACAGCTCATGTCTGGAGATGACTTCACTGTGGATGCTCAAGATGAAAGCAAAATCTGTGCAGTGCAGGTGACAAGCAGCAGGTGGGTGGGACAAAGCAGAGGGGGGTCAGGCCCACTCAGGCAGGACGTGGTGGGCAGGACAGAGAGCCTGCTCCCACGCACGGGCGAGGGCTGCAAGGCCAAAAGGCTGTCCTGGAAGGTGGCCGCGTGTCGGCCCCTCTGCGTGTTGTTGAAAATGAGAGTCCTGAAGCGGAACAAGCAGTCCCACTGCCTTTTAAGTAATCGCTTTAAGAAGACAGAGGAAGACAGAATATGTAAAACAGATTGAGGAGACTCATCAGTTAACTAGAACACGCCTCTTTTTGGGGAAGACTTACTCCAAAAGACATTGAATGAATGAGTTGTTTTTGGATAGAGAGCAAGGTCAGAGTTAGCCCTTTGCCATCAGGAG